TTTTAAGATGAAATAATTCATTCTTATGTTATAATTGACCTATATTAATTTATAATTTGTGCTTAACTTTTGAGTATGTTTGACCTAAAGAGTTATTTTATTAAATAATTAATTATATTAATAACAGGGATACTTTATGAACATCACATAATAATGTATTTAATAATATATGTATAATGTATACATATTGATCAGATTCGTGTTACAAATTATTGGATATTCTGTAGTACGATCTACTAATAATTTTTGAGATATGAAATTGTTATCACTATATGTACATAAAAGAATATATTATTTTTATTATTGATGGCATAAAATTACATTAGTTTTGAATAAATAATAAATATAATATAGTTTAATTAAAAATAAATAAATATTTAACACTTAATTCAAATATTTTATCCATTATTTATAAATAAATCTGTTTTTTACTGAAGTGTCAGTAAAACATTAAACATGGTTTGTTATTATTTTTTTAAATTTATATTATATATATATATATATATACAGCCCAGCATATATGGTATTTTAACAAAACAATACTTGTATAATTTTCTTTTATTTATGTATATTTTCGCATATTACTAGTTATTTGTAGTTATAAAAATCTTCTACGTAAGCAATAATTGTGAACTATCTACTTATGCGACGTACGAATTTAAGTATGAATATGTACTCATGTTTGTTTGTAGCGAGAAGGTCATCTAGATTTCAAGGTTGGCAACGTGAACATCTAGATTCTAATTATCGGGTAATAACTTTACAATTTTCTATTTCCGTATTTTCTTCTTCTCGCAGTGCATGACCATTTGAATATTTTTTACTTGAATTTTTAGCGTGTGAAATTAAAATATTATTTGTTTATATTAATATTTATAATAAATTTTAAGTATGTTTTCGTATAGCTTTTAATATATAGTTTAAATATAGTTCGTATAGTTTAAATATATTGAAAAAAAAAAGTAAAAACTTGAGACTGATCATTTTTTTTTGGTCAGCAAAATTAAAAAAAAAAAAAGCAAAGGAAAATCTTAAAAAATATATTTTTTCTTAATTTAAAACGTTTATTATGAGTTATAGATACGGTGCTGGAACAATGGGTTAGTTGTACGCAGAATAACGTAGGTGTATAAAATATTATTAATTATGAACGGGAGAAATATCGAGCAGATCTAGTTTTATAATTCATGGAGTTTATCAGCGGTAACGAAACTAGAGAAAACTTAAGTAAATTGAGTCAAATTTAGTCGGTCGAAATGTGCAATACTTTAATGTGTTACGAAGTGCAATAATGTTATATAACGTGTAAAATACGTGTGTATTATTTGCACATATTATACTATACTTGCGTACACTGAATGAAGTCTAGTACGTACGTACTGTCTGTATCGCACGTTCTAACGAATGTTTAAAATCGCGTACGAGTAAATAATACGAATCGCACGTATCGTAAGGTTTATCTCGCCTTTTATCATTGTACTCGGCTGGCTTCGGGTTTTCGGCGACCGTGTAGATTTAAAACTATTACACAATTTTGGGTTTCAGTTTTTTTTTCTCTTATCACGCGATGTTTTCCCAATGAAAAGTAAACAGGTGCACTTTTGCGTTTTTTACGCGTGCCGTTCGTTCTGGTCGTCGAAACGCGCACAAAGATACGTGTATCAAGACGGAATACAATGTTCATCATCGTGTATTTTATACATACGATTAAAAATATTACGTCCCAGGGGAGAATACAACGCGAACGCGTAACTGTACAGGATGACGGCGTAGAAATCAAAGTGCGTTTCTACTCTCGGTTACTGGGCGAAGACATTAGGTGCGGTGGCGTTGTAATGCGCGCGCGCGCCTCGGAGAGAACAATTGTTCGAACACACGTTACCAAATTTAATGCGCACAATTGTTTTGGGTTTTGAAAGTCAACGGTGTACAAGGCGGGCGCGCGCGTGTGTGTTGATGTATTAATGAGACGTATGGATAATAATTCGAACTGTGACATCAGTCACAACACTCGTAACGTTGAAAATACTCGTTAGAACCAACGAGAGACGCATGGAGTTTATACCTAGTACATAAATTTCTTATAAATAAATATTTTTCGAACTGTACATGTATAACTGGTGTACATGCACACCGAATATGTGATCTTACGTATATGTAATTTTTGTAACGACTATGTTTTCGTTTTCAACTGTCTGTATACTGTATAGATATGTTACCTATAGTGTACAATCGCAATCATTATACTCATTTATGATTTAACATTTAAAATTATTGCTCAAGCTACGAAATACACGTTACGTGTTATTATTTAAATATTTTACTGCGTACAATATTTTATTGTATTTATAAACGGCGATTTTTTGTTCATCATTATTACTATTCGTAATTATCATTATATTTATGTACGTTTCATAATTTGTGTGTATGTTTATTAAATTGAAATTTTCTGTTTGTGCGTTTTCCATGTTTAAAATTAAATATTTTTATTTTATTTAAATATTTTTAAAAACATACTAGAAATCATGAAGGGTGTTTGAAAATATGACGTAACGTTTAGTTTATTGAGATATTTAAAATTTGCTTGTACTCAGCACCATTTTATAAACTGTTTATTTTTCATAATTTTAACACATTCGAAAAGTAGATTTGGGAAAATTCTTACTAAAATTGTTTTACTTCGATGGAAAAATAATCATACATTTTCATGATTTAAATGTCGCTTTTAATCAAAACAAATTGTTTCAATCATTAAATATATTTATAAAGATAAAATATCTGCCAATAATATACACAGCGTTATTTGTTTATCATAATTGTTAAAAAAGGTTTATATAATAAGTATATATAGATTAGCGGTATGGGTTTCACATAAATATTGGAATTGCATTGAAAATACACCTTGAAAATCGAAATTTTGAATTTGAGCATTTTCCGATTGTAATAAAAACATCGCAGGGGAATCTCTTTCGAAGAGCACATGTTTAGTTAATTATCTTGTTTCAAATGTTCTCGCATTAAGTTCACCTCTGAAATATGAATATATTTGGCGCGTAATTTATTTCACCGTATATACACTCTTATTGTTTATTGTTTATCATTTTCATTTTTGAAGGTAAAAAAAAAAATACCGTTTCATATGCCTAAAACGTAGGTTGACATCATTATTTCCCATGGACAAATTTATTTTAAGTATTTGACAGACATTAAAAGACAAGACTGTATGATAGCACTTGAGCAAACATAATATATAATAATTATAATAAGGGTAGTTTCGGGAGAATTCGAGGAGCTAACCTTTCTATTGCTGTACGTTACACCTACAGTAGTATATGTAGTGTTTGAAAATTTCCTTTTAAAAAATAACTTGTTCATGTTAATTTATTAAAAAGGAATTCGCTCCGTTCCTCATTCCTAAGTAAGAAACGTTTTTCATTCCTCAATAGTTTTAAAGTTTAACTAATACAATTTGTATTTTAACGGTTTTTCTAACTTCTAACTTTGTCAATATTATCGTATGTAAGTTTATTTGAATAGAAATGTATACATTATAAAAAATAATAATATTAAAAAAAAATATTTAGGAATAAAAGAACGAAGAAAAAAAATAAATGAACGATTTTTCGAATACGTTCCTTTGCATGAAAAAAGAAATTGCGTTCCCAATAAGTTCTTGATAATTTAATAAAATTAAGTATCAAATACTGTTGTAAAATTGACCAATGTTATTATTTCCGGCCAAAAAAAAAAAAAAACCGGAAGACACAGCATGATACTCGTATTTCGCGTTGTAAAAAACAAAGATAAAAATAAATACGTTCTCTTGTTCGTACGATTTCGTACAAACCCGGCGTGTCTGGTTCTGTTTTCCGCGACTGCTCGATGCGCGCGCATTTATTGAAACCTTCACACCGAATAATCTAATCCCGACAAGCCGTTCTGATTCGTATTGTACGTCCCAGACCATTATTTTGTATCGTATTGCAGGGAATATTTTACTGTACATTTTACGGATATCCACATTCAGCGGCGTACATTCCCTAGTTCTAGTGGGGGGGGGGGGGAACAAAATTAATCGTTATCTTTTTTTTTTTTTTGGTTGCACTGTTAAATAAGATAAATAACTGCTATATTATTTTATACAACTATTTTACCAATTTAAAGTTTACTTTTACATTACACTAAATTAATAGCTATTTGTTTTTATTGAAATATAAAAACAGCATAGTTAACAAAACTTTTCAAACACCTATCAATATAATTATTTAATTATCATAATATTTGTTTAGTATATTTTAAGTTCAAAGCGTAATAATGAAACTACGAATACTACGAACTACTACACGTCATCAATAATAAAACAATTTTCTTTTTTTTTTTTGGCCCTGGGGGGGTTTGGACCTAAAACTCCCTCCCCCCATATGTACACCACTGACCACATTTCGTAAATAAACTCCATCCTTTAGCCGTATCAATATTTGAAATATATTTCACTGTCGGTCAGAAAACAAAGTTCCATAAGTTTATCATGACTAAACGTGTTTTCGAATCTCTGATTTTTTCTAACTTTAAACCTGCATCCTTCTATACTAGGGATGGGCAGCCCGCATGCCGCATCTAGCTTATGCTACAATTTCGAATGATTTCATAGCATTTTGTCGTTTATTATGTCCATCGTAATATAAAGATATTATATCCTTATCTAGTATTAAATTATTTAATATTTAAATATAATTTATATATATATATACATCAGTACCGGGATAGCTAATATAGGTTTTTTTGCTTTCTCTTCTCAGACCCGTCAGATTTTTAATTTCTGTTAGTCGGCTCTCTAGTCATTTCGAGTTGCCCATCCCTGTTCTAGACACCCGTCGGAAAATTACTTCTATACTAGGTGTCCGACCAATCTTGATTTGATGTCCATTTGGGCACGGAGAAACAACTCTCAAAATATGCCCCGTCGTGTTGTACTGTTATTGACATTGTTTTTATTTCAGATCACAAGGTCCGTGTCAAACATTTCGGCGATGCGCGGCAAGCACGAGACGGCTACTGCCGGTACGACCGCCGCATCGGAAGTGGCCAACGCCGAACTGTCGTGCTACGGCGTGTTCCGCAAACTGGAACCTGACGACGAAGAAAGAGGAGGAGGTGGTGGTGATGGTGGTTGCGGCGGCGGCGTCGTCGTCGTCGTCGACGGTCGTGTCGGTAGCGGCGGGGGAGAGTGCGTCATCGCGGGCCGCCGGCCGCCGCCTCGGTTGTCCGTGCCGCCGCCGCCGGGAACAGCGTTCAGTCCGCAAGAACCCGCGTTCGCGCACGTTACCACCGCGGCCGATGACGATCGCGACCTCGACTACGACCGCGAGCACGAACATCGCGACTGCTGCGACGGTTACTACGACGACGGCGACTTCGATCGCGGCACGTACTCGGTGTACAACCATTGCTATTGCTGCGACGCAGCCACAGGGACCGACGCGCCGTCCACCGCGACTACGACCACGACGGGCCCAACGTCCGCGGCGGACCATCGCGGTTGTTGCTGTCCGCGCGGCGACGAGTTGAGCGACTTCGGCCCCGTCGCTTGGGACTGCGACTGCGACTGTTCGGCGGTCACGGCAGGCACCACCATCACGGGCGATCTGCGAGGCGTCGGGGGCGCGGCGGCGGCCCCGTTCAGCCACACCCCCATGGGCTCGACCACCAAGCTCGTAGGGATCGACGCCAACAGTGACGACACGCCAAAGGTACGTGCCCGTGTGCCTACTACTGTACACCGTATTATGTAATATTCGGGCTCCGGGGATTGCGAAACGTACGAAACGTATCCGCCGGAAAAATGAAAACGAAAAAAATTTTGTTTATTGGTGTATAATAATAATAGAAGAAAAAAAAATGTATCTTTTTAAAAGTTTATCGTGTGAAATTCATTAATGGGAATGGGACGTAAGTTGATTGCTCATTTAGAATTTTGATCAGTACACAAGATTAATCGTGTTTCTTTAGGGTCACTGTTGTTAGATGTTATTATTTTCATCTTCGCGTATCATGATGTTAAAATGCTAATATCCATTGGAAATAATTGTGACTAATTTTTCGTTTTAAACGCCAGACGGGTTTTTTTTTAAAAAAAAGAAAATCATCATTCAATGTTGTGGTGATCCATGGGGATCTGTGGATATTTTAGACGGAGTTGGGGTATTAGCTACTTTAAAAATTTTACAGTTTATCTTATGTGTTGTACACGTTCGGTGTCCACAGTTTCAAACTATCAAATTGTGTATGCATTTATTTTCCATTTATTCAAGTATATTTTTTCAAATTTAACAAAAAATTACTTTTCCGAAAATGTTGTCCTAAAAAATCATCGCACTCAATAAATCTGTTCTTAGCATTATTTATATTGGATTAGATATGATGTGTAGTTGACTCTTTCGCGGTTGATTTCTAATTACTGTAGTTTTGTCACTTCAGTCTTATTTAGAACGATTTATGAAAAACAATACTTTGCAATTGTTTTTTTTATTTATTGATATATATATTTTACTAAAATCATTTCGTAAAGTCCGAATCCAGATTACAATTTCCCTAGAAGTATATTAGATAGAAAAAATACCCCAGCCGTAGTCAGTAAATAAATAGGTACTACGTTTTACAGAATGAAATAAAAATGTTAAAACTAATGAAAGGAAAAATAGCGTTATGGTAATATATGTTGTGGGAATGTTAATTTTGAATGTAGGGTCGACGAAGTCTGTACGACGGAACCCCTTATACTTGCTTTTATCAGTGGGTATTATGTACCTTTTTTTTGAATGTATAATATAGTATGTAATATGCAATCCAAGTAGAAACCTCGCACTTCGTTAATTGTCCTCACTCTATTATTTAGGTAGCTCTTACGAATCATATTGTCCGTATTGTAGATGATGATTATATATAATAAAGAACATTTATTTCATTCGAGAACATTACATCGTTTTGGTCTTTTAGGTTTGTTATTTACGCCATTTTATTGTGATATTTACTTCGGATATTGTGTTATATGACACTCAAAGTGAACAATAATGTATAATGCGGGTGACGTTTAACTTGTATGTTTTTCCATATATTAGTCGACGGGGGTGTGTGAAAATAGAAATGAATATAAGGTGTAACCCGTTGTTTAGGGTAATACGCTTAAAATGTCAATCAGAGTTATTATTGTTTGAATATAAATGTATAAATTCGGCAGTTTGCTGTTGATTAATGACTCGCCGATATGCATGTACAATAAGTAGTGCGAAGTGATCGCTATAATATGTTTTCGTTATTTCGAGTTTCTATTAGATATAATATTATGCCAGTTTTACCCGTTAAACGAGTCACAAATACCATACTAATAATTTATCATTACGCATTAGGCAATATACAAATCAAACGGGTGTGTGTATTGAATTAATATGTTATCGTGAATATTAATTCGTTAAACGATCAAGGTCGAACGAAGATTCGGATTTTTCGTTTACTATTGAAACCCTCTCGGAATCTCTAATTGGTACATTCTGTGTGTTGCGGTAAAAGTCAAAAGCCATAATATTCGTTACCCGCACAAGTCGTCGTGCGGAATGCGCGTGCGACATTGCCACTGGCCGGATTAAATTTAATTACTGCAATCAATGGGTTTATTTATGTTTGGCGCTCCGGTTGATTTGCTATTCTCCGTTAGAAATCAATTGCGTACCCGCAGGGTTCGAAATCCGTAACAATTGGAAAACAATAATATGTAAGCCGAGGGACATAGTATCGGAGAATATTACACATACTTCTTATATGCGCCAATGCAACATCATGATATTATTATTAATTATTAATAATTACCATTACGGTGTATTGCAATGCGTGCCGAATACTGTACCCAAGTAAATGGGCAAATCGTAAAAAGGCATTCAAAGACAATCGAAAAAGATTGCTGTACAGATAAAGAAGCTAAACTTAGCGATTGTTGCGGTATAATAATAATTGTAGAACTGCAATGTTGACATGCTATGACAACTTACACGACGCAGCGCGCGTAACAAACATTCCCAACCGTATTTCGCCTGATTATTATATTATTATGGTATGCACAGAACCCTTAACTACTATACATGTTGCGTACACGCCGGACCGGTGTCCTTGACAAGGCGAGATTTCATGGTTTGTAAAATTCCGCGGACCGTGACCCATACAAATCTATATTTTCAAACGATTTTTAGCGAAAAAATAAAAGTAATGAAAAAAAAAATGAACCAAAAGTTATTGTTATTGCTGTTATTAGTCGAGAGGAGTACATGTACCTATGTAAACGTATTTTATTTGGAAGCGTAGCAATTTTTTCGTCGCCTTGTCGATTTGCTTCCCGAAAACTCGGATCCAGTCACCAAAACGATATGTAAACACGTTACATTACCAGTTCGTTTTAAAATCATGTAATTTTTTAGGGCTGATAAAAAAGCCTTCGTGTTTCCGATGTGCAATATCTATGCAGGACTGCACTAGTAGATACCTTCGTCCTATGTACATCTATGGCCCGATAAAAAAAAAATCGCTTTTTTTACTTACCGGCCTTCCTTCCCCTCCCACGCATGTAATAAACCCATAACTCACAATTTGATATGCACGTCGTTTTGGAAATAAGCTGACCGAATACACGGACTCTGGGAAAAAAAAATTTGACAGTTTTTCGTGGGCAAAGTTTTTTTTTGCTTTTTCTCGTTTTGCTTCTTTTCTGTCCCTTGGGTATGTTTTAAACATAATCGACTTAGAAACTCAGCGTCCGATCACCCAGATTTTATTCAATTATTTAGACTCGTATTAACTGCATATTATTGTATTACTTGTATGCATTCCGTAGTACTTATGTATATACTTCGCAATACAGGTATTTTCAATGATATGTTAACGAAAAATTCGTAGTTATGTAAGACGATTGAAGAATAAGAAATATCTATGCACATTTTGTTTACTCGTTATTTATTAACAATACAAATCCAATTTACAATGTTTAGGTGATTAGGATATATTTTTTTGTCGTTTATGAATATAATACTTACATAATATTATGCGTATGATGTACACGTACTGAAAAAAGATTAACATATTTTTTTGTTTAGTATTTACTATATGGTAGATACCTATATTATAGTTATACTATACTAGTTATAGGGTTTATTTAACCATTATATGTAAATGACTTTATGGAATTTAATTTTCTAAACTTTTTTTTATGTAAACCTCAAACAGTGGGTAAACGTAGTATTATTGGAGACGTATTTATATGTATAAATATCCGGTATACGTATAATATAATCACTTAGACATGGCTAATTTTGTAACAAGAATAAAATGTTTAGAATTTAAATTCCATTGAATTTAGGTTGACAATGAATACAATAAATATTAAATTGTAGATATTGTTTAAGTAAATCGAAGTAAACACTAAATACACCTCTTTTTTTTCATTAACCATAACGATGATTATTTTTGATTTAATTTGGATTGCTCATTTATTGAAATAAATTTGATTTTTCCCCACAAAATATAGGAATATAGAGAATCTTAAATTCTGGCTTTATTATGTTAAGACCGAGATTAAGTCTGATAAATGTTTTGAATAAACGAATAATAAGAATAAATAGTTCAAACAATAAACATAATTTAACATCAATTGATCACAATTCTTAAAATTTACATTATTTAATAACATCTAAACTTCACTTTAAATTGAAAATAATTCTTTGTATATAAATATGTATACATTTATTTAATTAATTTAATTAATTTATTTATTTATTTCATATTGTACTTTAATCAATGTACCAACTTTATATGCGTTTTTTACGGTTTTAGCGTGACAGTTAATATATTAATAAAATTTATTTTGATTTATGAGAGAAGTTTTTAATCTTAGTTAAGCAACTATAATTTTGGTTGAATTTTGGTCGTGGTACGGCTATTATAGCTTAAATTGCATATCGTTAAAATTATTTGTAAACAAATTATTTGCTCTTATTATTCTTGAGCGCGAATAGTGTAAAAATTTGTTCTGTTGACAATATAACGAAATAAGGGATGTTAGTAGAACTTAAATATGTAGCACGAAATCCAATGGCATCCGTATACAGGGATAGGGAAAATTATATTTTTCATAGATTTTTCAAAAAAAAATTCTAGTTGTGTTTTAATTTATTATTTTCGAAATGATATATGCTTGGAACGTGCAGTAATGTGTGTCCTCAGATTTTTGTTTAAGGTCGACGACACTCCGAAACACGCAGACATAGGCATTTATATCGCATTCAGTTGTAACACACGTACATCATTAGATATGATTAAGTACTTGACTGAATTTGATCGAATCCACGCTTAAACGGTGATTGGTAAAATTTTACGACGTACCCAATTAAATGTCATGTAAACAGTCTTCGGGTGAATGATAATCGCGGTTAATTTCTTATTATAAATTAATCTCTGTAAATCCTACACACCCAGATCGGGATTAGGACGATAATGGTTCTTTATGAGTTTTTAGTTGCATGTGTGTAAATCCTTGCGCCCTATTATGTACACATGATATGTCTATGTGTGCTTGTGGTCATTACACGCCCTTGAAACATACTACGCACGGTTTCATTATATTATTATTATTAATATTATATAACCGACGTAAAAATTGTTATCATTTATTTTTTGTCAGAGTATACCGTAGAAAAAATTACTATTCTTT